GTTACAGCCCGTTGACTGAAGCATGTGTTTATTCCTCCTTAGCAAGAAGCTATGCAGTTTTTGCGAATATTTGCGTATTCGAACAGGAATATTTCTTTTTTCATATAATCTTGACTTGGATAAGCAGCTGATTGTTGCCGAACTGGTTCTGCATGAAGTCTTTCTTACTGTTTCGCTCATATTCGTTTCTTACTGATAAAATAACTGTGCAGCTTGAATACACGAATAAAAACCGTTTAAGGCTGGCATTTGATATCCTGTAAACGCTTTGGGGCAGTTAAGTGTTGTAAATTACTCATGAGAATTTGTAATTGCTGCGCTCCGGTTGTTCTTATTCATGCGGTAAAAGACAAAGTTTCTGGGCGCTGTAGGAGTAGTTTATTTGCTTGAGAGGTAGCCGGTTCCAGAAGCAACTGATAGAGGTAACTGGTTGAGAGTAGCTGATTTCTACTTCACCTAAATAGCTATTCTGGCAGATGTGCACTGGCATTTTAGTTTCGTTTGCATGATTTGATACTAGCATACCGATGATGGGAATTTGCAGTAGGCAAATTTTTTAGGAAATTGCCACGTTTTAGTTGATCCAATGTCCCAGCTACGCACTGTATCTCGCAACGGTTAACTGCAGCAAGTTTGTACTTGTTTGGGCCGTAACGTGAAGCTCGTGGACTGTTAGTTGAAATAAAGACAGATGTATGGCAGCGACGAGTTAGTGGGAGCAATAAGTTGAGATTTCTTCGTAGTTGCGTTCTGAATTTCAGCTGAAGATGCGTTTGAAGTTTCCATTCACCACAGGCGAATACTTTCGCAAACTTGCGCAGTAGTTGAAATGACGATAAAATAAACCAACGTATAAAAATATACAATCGACAAAACAAAACAAAAAAACATCCGTAAACTCAACAACCATAGTTTTCTTGACGAACGCCTGACTGGTCTTTTTCCGACTTCTGGTGCCTTTTCTGAAGTTTAGTATTGTGTATTAATTGCTGAGGTTGTGTATTAATTGTTGTGTATTAATTGTTTGCTGTATTAATTGTATATTTACTGCTGTGTATTAATTAATTGCTATGTATTGATTGTTCACTTATAAAAGAATCGGATTTTTTATTACAAATTACTGCTATTTCGTTTGGGACAGTGGTCGTGTCTTCTTGGGTTTGAAAAGGCCAGCAACCTTGCGGACACGGAATTAGACTAGGTTTCACTGAGTTCTTAACTTTTGGAGGTACTGATTGATAAAATCAAACAGTCTGTGTAGCCCTCAGCGTGGCTATTTGTAAGCATTTTTTCGATAGGTTTGGATTATTTATAACTGCCGCTCCAACAATTCCATTTGCTCACACAGTAGCGAAGGCGCCCGCAAACTGTAGTTGTGGTTTGGGCACTTCTTTTCCTGAACAAATTTTGAGTTTTTTCAAACAACAGAAAATACGCCACAAAAAAGGGTGAATAAAAGAGGTACAAAGTTGAAAGATAATTGCTAGAACAGTAATGTAACTATGAAGCTATTGCTACAATGGTAATTTAGTGAAGTATGAAAAACAAAGTGGATCATACAGCAAGCCCAAGTAAATTTTTACCCGAATGCATTGAAAGTTTCCACAAAATGACTTACGATTACACGATATTTTTTTGTTAACAGACATGATCTCATAATTCCGAACTTTTAGGCTCAACTCATGGTATTGTAAAATATCTAATTTTAATTATAAAATTATATAATTTTTTTTTTCGCCTTTTTTTAGCCAGTGACTCAGGAATGCAATTGTATTCCTGTGTGTTTACAATTATCTTCATTTTTGTCCCTCCCTTTTTTTATACCTATGGAAACCTTTTCGTTCTCCAGCTATCTTCTTCCTTATCTTCTTTTGGCCCCCTATCCTTATCCCCTTTTCCTTTATCAACTCCTTTTTGCCTTCCTCTTCCCCAAATTTCTAAATTTCCTTTCATTACACCATCCCATGAGGCGGGCCCTAACTCCCTTCATAAATCTCTTACCTTTCCTCTTGCCTCAGTTTCTTTTTACAGGCCTCAGTTTCCTCAGTCAGCGTTAGTTTCATCGGCCACCCGCCAGCTGCGACTCCCGCCGACCCATTCTACAGACCTCTTTCCCCGTCCGCCCCTTGTGCCTTTTCTGAACTCAAAAGGCAAATGACTCAGAAGATGAGAGATGCTTCGCTCGTAAGGTAGGAGAAAAGGTCATGAAGAGTAAGTGCCGCTGTCGAAAAGATACTTTCATAAGGAAGAGAAGGCGTCGCTGATATTAGAAGTGTAAAAAATTTATAATCCTATTTGAAGTCCCGAAATAGTTAAAAATAAATTACAATTAGCAAATTAATTACAATTAGCAAATAAGAAAAATATTATAAAATGTATATAAAAAATGAAGAAAGATCCTATCTGGACTATTTTTTGTGCGAAGCATTGTAAGCAAATGCTTCGGCGATATGTTGCGACGTAAGTCAGTACATAGCGCAAAAACTCTGTTGGGAAATATCATCCCGTGGATCTACGACCCTGTTCTCAGATCGGGAGGTAGAAAAACTGTTACAACTATAAACATAAGGTAGATCTTTTGAATTCTATCCCTAAACCGAACAATGGGAAAAACTGTCTTGCCGTGCAAGTGAAAATTCCTTTGCAGGTGTATAAAAGGACACCACGATGGCAGTCGAGATTTGGCCTCTCGACGTCAGCGCTCCTTCCTGATTCCCCACGTTTTGTGATTCCGGCGTTTAATTTAACTGTATCAGTGCTGTTATCGCGATTTTTGCACGGCCCTACAACGACATCCTTCGTGAAATTGAAAGCTTAGGCCGAGACTCCTTGCAAGGATTGTTTTGTCTGATTGTGAATTACTTGTTAGCCCGCTTGGGCATTTCTGTGGCGGTGCAACTCTTTTCAGTAATGTACTTCCTGTTATTTGACCTGGCTCCCGTAGATCCACTACACAAGCACATACATACATACGCAAATCGCTTGCATTAAGTCATCACGAAATCGAATGCGTATCT